ACACGACACTGGTGGGTCTCTCAACTCATACTAACCCAAATTGGCTTATTTTTGGCAGGCAACATCCTGATAGCCCCAAAATCATCCCAAACAGGAGTCAACCTATTTGGGGTAGATTTGGTTTAGACAACACCACCAGTGTCGCTCGGGGGACACTAGTCGTGTCGTCTAGCCCAGATTGACCCAAATCGGCTGGTTTTTTACAAGTAGCACCCAGACTGTAATCTGCCAATTTTGAGCAAATTTGGTTTGGGCGAAGACCCGACTGCCTCAAATTGGCAGTTTTTGCATGCCACCCCTCCTGGATCATTTTTTGTCAAGTTCAATGAACCTAGACCATTTGGTATGGGCGACACTACCAGTGTCGCCCAAGCCTTGGACCACCAAAAAGACGGTCTAGGCTGTGAAATCTTTTGGTTATGGTATGTTACCCATTCCAGACTATTTGTAGCTTATAAAAGGTTATTTCAAGATCATTTTAGGTTAGACTCTAGAGACTCTTGAAACTTGATTAATTGGCGTGCCCAAGGAAAATTTCGAGATTGTGAGACCTGAGAAAAAACCTAGAACTAGGAGAACCTTAACTTTAGGCCACCTGTAGGCCTTAGATTAAAAGATCCATTCAACCAAGACAAGGCCTAGTCTAAACGTGAAGAGAACAAAGAGGACGCACGGCATAAACTCAGTTGGTACTGATATTGCGAGTCCTTGAAGCCTCGAGAGCCCCGAGCCAACTGACCGGTCTATTACATTTTTATTCTTTTCATGTGTTTCTTTTCATTTTTTTTGTTAGAATTAAATTATTTTTATTGCATTTTATATTGTATTTCATATTTCATATCAATGTTGGCTCTGAGCCACTGATCTAAGAGTAGATTTGCTCACTTCTTATTAGATCTGACCTCGGATCTGAATTTGATTGTCACACTCTCTATCACACACTTTTAAAATCAGTTTGTGACGCCCACCGTGGGCAGTTCGAGCTTGATCCAAGCTTCGAAATACATGTTTTTCTTTACTGTTTTGCACTGATTTTTTGTCCAAGATGTAATCAAGACCCAGGGTCTCTACGGCTGCGAAACCTTGTTTGTCTGGGGCAATGCTCCCTATGTTGCCCAAGCGATGCTCCCTATGTTGCTCTGACGACGCTTCAAAGCTAGATGAAGCCTTCATGCTATCCGGGCTTTGTATCTGGAGGGATTCAATTCCTCGACCCTCTCGATGCTCGTCCTTCAAAACAGCCAAAGATGATCATTAATTAACCAATGGTGGATAATTCTCCTTCGCACATCAACACACACAAGAACTAGGAATTGAAGACCTTTTTGCTGACCTGGACTTGAAAGTATACACAATTGGCTCTGACACAGCCAATCGTGATCATTTGCATATTCGAACCCAAGGACGAAATTGCTCAATCATTCCCATATCTCTATAATCCCTAGAAGCATACCCACGGTACCTTCAAGTCCTGGTGCCAAAAAAGGAATAGGCGCATGATGGTCACCTAATCACTCTGCGCATCCGGTCCCCAACATATCTCTTGTGAGTCCCATAAGGGATACCTATTGTGACATTTAAAAAACCGGTGAAAATTCAAAACATGATAAAAATGACAACAAGAAAAAACAATTTTATAAAATGGCAAACACTTAGGATAGCCCATTAATGGTGCAAAACCCCCAAGATGATGGATCGGATAACTCAGATGAAGACCAAGAGAACCAAGAGTCTGAAGAACCCCTCAACCTGAGGAACTCACTGCCCATGTTGAGTAGTTCAAGATGTTAAAAAGCCTCTTTGAGTCCAATACAGGTGATGATCCCAAAAGCTACTTGGCTCGGTCCAACTTGAGTGACGACCCTAAAAGCTCTCTCCCCTTTCTATCCCAGATTTTGAGGCCCTCGATGAGGAACTTAAGAGCTGCAACACTAGTAAGCAGAATAGCAAGCAGCTAAAAAAGACATTGGCGCAAGCAGCGGGTTTCTTAACAGTTGCCAATGCACTAGCCTCCAGATCCAAGAAGAAATCCCTTCCCTCTCCTAAAGAGCTAATTGAGCAATATCAAAACCCGACACCTAAAAAGCCTCGATGGCCCCCTGAGCCTGACCCAGAGCAGCAATGGAAAGATACGAAAGGACAAAGTTAGTCTTCTTATGAAGCATGCCATATGGTGCAAGTCACCGAGGGAATAATCAATGTCAGTAAGATCAACTTGAGATCTGGGAAGAAACTCCAGCCTCTCACACGAAGGCCGAAACAACCAAGACTTTTGAAATACCCAGGTCCACCACTGATGCCATACCCAAATACTCCATTCAATCCACCACCCCTTCTCAAATACCCTAGACCACCACTAGTTCCATACGCAAATCCATCTCCGACTTCCTCATAAAACCTCAACCCTCTCAAACTACACCAGCCTTGATTCTACCACCGCCTGCCACGGTTGTACCACCAAGTCAGCTTGTGCCCATTCCAATCAACCCATCTAACCAACCTACACCCACTCCGGCTGTGCAATCAAGCTAGCCAATCCAACCCCTCCGGCTTTTACAATCTAGCCAATCCGCACCTGCTCAATCTACCCCGACTGTGAAATTAAGTCAGCCCACACTCACAAACAATTCGCCTAAACCCATTCCACAACCTCACATACCCTCAAAACCAGTGGCAAACCCAGGAGTCCATGAACCAAATGATGACAAGGTCAAGTATTATGTGGTTGGATACCTAATGAGACTCCCTGCCCTATTGAGTGTCTATGACGCTCTCATGTTATTAGGTGATTACTGCATGGCTCTTATACAAGCTCTTTCCTGTCCCGAAGCATACGAGATCGAAGTTGAGCAGATCGAGGTAGACCTAACTATCCTTAACAACTGCATGGTTGTCACTTTCTCTGACGACGACCTTCAGTTGGGAGGGAAATTCCACAATCGCCCCCTCTTTGTGACTGGTGAATTGCATGCCTACCCTATCAACTGAATCATGCTCGATGGAGGTTCTACGGTAAACCTCATCCCAAGAAGAATTCTCGCTCGCATAGGGTTGGGGCCTGAAGATCTCACACCGACGACCTCCACGGTTCAGGGGTTCAATCAAACAGGGGAGAAGCCGACTGGCACTATCCGTCTCCATCTCAAGATTGGTGACTTAAATGACTACGCCCAATTCCATGTTATTGAGATGGATACTTCATATAACATCTTACTTGGTCGTCCTTGGATGTATGATCAAGGGGTAGTTCCATCTACATTACACCAATGCTTCAAGTACAGCCGAGAGGGGAGGCAATACACAGTCTATGTTGATAAGAGACCTTTTTCCATAGCTGAAATCCATTATGCGGATGCAAAGTACTACTTTGCCAACCCAGAGTCACCTCAAGAGACTGTGATGGCTGCAGGAGCCAATCCTGCGAAGAAGGTGGAAGGGTTTTTTCATTATGATGCACAGGATGTAGGAAAAATGTTCCTTAGCGTGTTCCAAGAAGAGGAGAGGAATGGAAAGATACTCCCTTTTACTCCAATTCATGCAATTCTCCCCTGCTCTTCCTCAAAAGATCCACTCGAATACCATGAGGGGCAAACCTCATCCCCCATTTTTCCAACTCCGAAGTCACACACAGTGACAACGGAACTGGAACCCGCTCAAAGCAGGAGGGAGTCAGGGATATTGACATTCTGGCACCCAGGGTCACTTACACGTCAGATTACCAAAAGGTCTTGCATATTCCCATTCCTCTCTTAAAGGCAGAAGCATCGTGCCGGAGCATCGAGGCTAGTCGGGACGATTGCAAGGTCTTGTGCATCTCAACCTCTTTTAGAGGGGAGGGCAACGTCTACCTTACCCAAAGGTCAACTTACATGTGCGATTCCTAAAAATTCTTACACATTCCGAATTCCTTGACAAGAGGGGATCTAATTCACCCAGTTACAACCGGGACTACCTCATCACTGGCTCTGTCTCCTAGTAACACCCCTCTTCCTCAGTTCGACCACTTAGATCAAGCCACCATTGTTAATATAAGGAAGCAAGCTCAAGAACTCCTTGGTTAACTGGAAGTCATTAGAAAAGGAAAGACCAAAGTAGAGGAGGTTCCCTTGAAATTTACAGCTTCGAGACCATTGTTGGGGTTCATTTCAGAGACCCAAAGTCCTGAGGTTCTTAGGGCCACTAAAAAATCACCCTACAAAGATGTTAAGGTGCTGTCAGAATGGGGTCTCTATAGTCACCAAGCTCATCAAATCATGAGGAAGATGAATTATGAGCCAATGACCAACCGAGGACTAAAAGACGACAAAGGGATGATTGCTCCATTCAAAGCCGTTGAGATAGCTACTGCCCAGTACGACACAAGAAAGAGAGTCGGATATATCAGAGTTACTCACTCCTCTGTCCAGCAACATGAGGCCTGTCATATAATCAGTATGACAGCCCTTCCCGATTCATCACCACCACCCTCTGAATCTTCCCTCTCTAGGCCAAAGTCTCACCATTGTGCACACACTACCATTGCAGTCCCGATGGCATGACCCTAAAAGTTTCCTCCTCAAAAGACAGACATGACGAAAACCTGAAAATGCGTCATGAGTAAGAAAGTCAAAAAGAAAAGAAAGAAGAAAAAAATGACGGGGCACAATAGCACCATCATCTATCGTGATTAAAAGGCGTAAAAAATAAACTAAAAATAAAAATCGAGCACGATGAAAACCTGAAAGGGCAATATGAGTAAAATCGAAAAACAATGGTAGACATGGTGTAAGAACCATGGGAAAAAGCGCCCCAAAAAGAGTCTCACGGGGTTTCGTGAAAACAAAAAATGGTGCATAACCCTAAGGCTTGAACGAAAACCTGAAAGGGCATTTAAGTCAAAGGCACGTGGAGGGAGAATGTGTTCATAAAAGAGGCTTTCGATAGCTCATCATTCTCAAAGAGGCAGCAACTAACGACAAAATAATGCAAACCATAACAACAAGGGAAGGCAGACTAAAGCATAAACAAAAAAGTGGTATTTCATTCCATACATCCTGTCAACATCCATGTACAAGAGCAAAAAAGCAGTAAAAGAAGGGTGAGAAGAAGAGAGCCCTCAGAAATGATCAACAACCTCACTGATCTTTACTCTTGCCGCCTCGGAGCGCACAATAGCCTGTTGCGCACGTCCACTAAGATCAGTCACTGCTTGGGCGACCCATGACACAGAGGTAGTCTGAGCGTCAATGTTGCGACTGAGTCTGGTCAGCTCATTGGACAACACTGGTTCTCTGCTCTCCACTGGTTCACCTGTCTGTCCAGCTCATTGTACTCTTTTGTCATCCTAACTATTTCCACCTTCAAGACCCTCATCTTGGTCAAATGGGATGTCCCTTGCTTAATGAAGGCATATTTTTTAGCTATTAGAGTAGCCTTCCTTTTAATACATACATCAAATTGTTGGCGATGCTGCTCAAGCAAGGCCTCCAAAGGGGCCAGTTGAGCACCCTGTAGCTCGCTTGCCTCTGACTCTTCTCTCAAAGCCTCTACTTGCCAACTCTCTAGCTCACATAACAGATTTTCAAAATGAGTAAAGACTTCCTTCTCGCAGTCTAAAATGCTCAGAGTAGCACAGCCATGAAGGTTAGCAATCTTGGGGCCAAGCCGCCCCTTCAATAATTGGAGACCTCACCGTAGCATGCCTATGACCATGGCAGACTTTGCGCTAGAAAGCAGGCTGATCGTTGATGAAATCGGGGTCGAAGTCACTTCAGTTGAAGCGACCATGGTAAGGGCGGCGACCATATCTGGGGGGGCGTCGACAAGGCCCACACTAAAAGACCCTTTCGGCTCCGAGCAAGACTCGACGTCTAACGACATAAAAACCAAGGCCTCCACTACATCGGTTATCAAAATGAGGAGCCACCACGGGTTGCTCGGGCATCACAATGATGTTAAGATCTTCCTCTGGGATGATGTTCGTGCCCCATCAGTGGCCCCGCTAGCCGTGCAAGTCATCTCCATCACTGGAAGAGGGCTGCTCTCCCAAGAACAAGAAGCCAGTCAAAGCTAACCCTCCTAGAGGACAAAGGTGCAACTGGTGTTGGCTCTTGCACCGAATGCAAGGTTGAATGAATGCTCTCTGATACAGAAGGAATACTGGCAAGATTAGGGGCCCCCGCGGCATCCGTAGCCACATCTCCAGACTCAGACGAGGCTGGGTAAGGAGAACTAATTATGGGCTGGGATCCAGAAGCTGATTTGGTCAACCTATCACTCTTAGGTCGAGAAGAAGGCTCATGTCCAGGCTCTGACTCAAAAACATCTGAGTTCACTAGCTTCTTCCTCTTTTTCTTCTCTCTTTGAGGTGGCTCGAGCCTCTCTGAAGTATGGTCATATCAAAAACTAGCATCAGGGGCTGAATGGGGACCACTGCCAATAAGGGCATTATAATCCTGAATGGGGTGCCCCTCTCGACTGCCAACCTTCTGGCCTTGTTTCCATTCAAAGATAGAACAAAGGTCATCGAAGAGGGTCCCCATTCTTTCTTTAAGAGCAAGAACCTGTGGTGACTCCTCATCCATTGCCATCGTCAGGGGCAACCCAAATTGCTCCCAGTCTCGAGTATATTCTAACTCAAAGAGCTTCTCAAATGCAAGTGGTACAAAGTTCTTGCCCTGCTTGGCATCACGGCACAAAGTGTTATTCTCCCCTTTTCAAGGATGATCCACTTGCCAATACCAGCTATTGGTGATTCGCCATGTCACACCCCAAGTTTTCTAACATTTTTGAGATGCGACAGACTATTCTTTTACTATATATGTACAGAACAAATTCAAAATTCCTACTTGTACATTTGTATAAGAATAGTCTGTTGCAACTCAAGAATGTTAGAAAACTTAAGGTGTGACAAAATGGTATAAGAGCAATAGGTTTAGGATCTTAGGAAATCGGAACAGAAATATACTCTAAATCATACTTATTGTATGAAACCATAGAGCATGGAGAATAGGGTTACTCTTATGCAACGTTAAATGGAGAACAACAATCCACCTAGACGGTTAGTTACAGGAAATGGTGGGTGTATCGAACGATGTACCTTCCTTTAAGGGTGTTACGGATCCACTAGAAGTCGAACGATGAATCATGCAATTGGAGAAAATATTTGCAATAATGGAATGTCCTTATGATAAGGTCACCTTGGCAGTTTTTATTTGAAAGGTGTAACAGAACATTGGTAACAGATGGCAAAAAAGAGTTTTGGTCCTAGAAAATAAATCCTTGACTTAGGAAGCATTTCGAGAGACATTTAATGAAAAGCACTTCCTAGATTTTATTCACGATAAAAAAAAAATGGAAAAATATGTTTTAGTGTGAATATACTGATATAAATTTAAATTTGTCCTATACATATAATATAATAATAGTCGGTTGCACCTCAAGAATGTTAGAGAACATGGAGTGTGACATGCCTATCATGCCATAATAAGGGACGATGAATTTATTCAACTTGATACGGTCTAGACAAGTCGCTCAGGTCGTCCTCACATGTATTTCCTTCCAGGATTCGCAGTAGGTCCCCAGGTCATCCTTCTTCCTCTTAGAACCCTCTTTCTCATACTGCATCTTGAACAATATATGGAATGGGCATCCCTGGTCTAGCCCATGTTGACGAGCAAAATGATGAGGGTAGTATGCTTCAAGCTTCGAGCCAAACGGTGTTCTGAAAGGCAGGATACCTCCTGTTACGCTTAAAAGAAACATCAGCTTAGGGATGCTAGTAGAGGCACAGTCCAACTCATGGCTCAGCTAGTCGGCAAAGGCACGATCAGTGCAGCCACCTATGGGAAATGGGTTACGACGTGTGAAGAAAGAGTCACTGCCAAATAAGCTTCACTCATGACCAGGGGTATGGAACTGGGCCTTTTGCCTTACGATCTTCACAAGTTGGGGCCACATAGCTCCAGATAGAGCATCATTTGTCGCGTATATACTGGGGAAGTACGCAGAAAGCCAGCTAAACAAGCAATGAGCTGGGAACGTTGTCTTAAAATTCCCTGAGAAGGCTTCTCCTCTTGCCAACCTGGGTCCATCTCCCCCCTTGAACGACTTGCCTCAAGAAATTGCCCCTAGGCCGTAGTAAATATTGCACAATATTGGTTGTGTTAGGGCATACTGGCGTCCTCATGCCATGTCACAGGATGCAAAGAAGCAACCCGATCGAATCACGTCGCTCGAGCCAGGGAGGCCGAACTTGCATATGAAGAGGGCTAGATACGCAGCAAGATATACATTGTCCTTCGCAGACCGGCATATGAAAGTGGCACAGGACACTTCCGCCCTTTCCTTGCCCTTGACTCCTAGAACGCAATTCTCTAACTCAGTAACATGTGTGTTCCCCGAAGAAAAACCTAATCCGGCGGCAGAAGTTCACTTGATCATCACTGCTTGTAAACTGAGAAGCTGGTAGATTTTGAACGTCTCTCGAAGGCCGGGAGGGGGTACCTCACACCCCAATGATTTTCTACCGAAGCTGCCTAAATTGTGGGGGATGAATTCGTCATACATAGCCCCCATCAGCGACAGACCCCCGATAAAGTGTAGGTCTAGCAAGGAAATCCCGCCCTCACCGTGGCCAAAGAGCCATGAGTTGCTAACATGGCTCCAAGTCACTAAGAGGGCCCTCATGGTGTTCGGGCAGCGGCCGAAGTACCCAACGGAATTCTGCACTGCTGCTAGCAAAGAGGCGAGCTTGAGCTCGTCCTCATAAACATGAAGAATTTCATGGGTCCAAGGGCTATACCCCTTTATGAATTGATGCTCCCCCTGCATTCTAAGCACATGAGGGGACCAAATTAACTCCTTCATTTTAGCCATTCGTTTCCCAAGGGTGGGGAGATCCTCACTGGAGTCCAGGTCACGGTGCAAAATATGAAATATTGGAATTCCCTCTTCTCAAACTATAAACTCCCCATCATGGTGCAAAATATGAAATATTGGAATTCCCTCTTCTCAAACTATAAACTCCCCATCATCAGTCTCGCGAACGTGAATGCGGGCAGTCTCACTAGCAAAGGTAACACTTAAAAGCCATTCCAGGGCACGAGCAGGCTTTGTGAGCCATATGGGCTCCCTTCTTACCAAACTAACACCTGTAAAGGTGGCAATCCCAAGGTCGCCCAATTTGAGGAGATTCTTGACCAGGTGCACATCATTGGAAATGGCATGAGGAAAACAAGGTCAAGGGTGCACAAAAACCCAGAGAGAAATCAAAGAAAAGAAGACACAGGGCCTAGCAAAACTTCGGCAACATCTCCCCTGTAAACTGGACTTTTTGACAAAAAAGGTGCCTGACTGATCCACGGCACCCCAAAGGATGCTCACGGAAACTGAACTGTTGGACATACCCAAGCCAAACGAACCCCGACAGAGCCCCTTATTCGTCAGGTGAAATCCATACAAAGGTCCTTCAAAAGCATTAAAAGTGCCCAAAAAGTGTTAAAGCACTCTTAAGGGCATCAAAATGCTTAACAGGCATTTAAAATGCTCAAAAAGTGCTTAAAAGGCATTTAAAATGCTATAAAAAAGTACTTAAAATGCTTAAAAGGCACTTTAAATGCTCATAAAGCACTTTAAATGTTTAAAAGGCACTTAAAATATGCAAAAAGTGCCAAAAATGCTTAAAAAGCACCAAAAGTGCTATTTAAGTGTTGAAGATGCAAAGAAATGCAAAAATGCTTGAAGTGCTCAAGGGGATGCCTAAGGGCTAAATGGCATCTAAATATGCTAAAATGGGCACTAAGAAGACGTGGAAAGAAGAAAAAGCATGGAAGGCAGAAAGCTCACCGAACACTCTGTTACTGGATGCCCCGGCCATCTAACCCCGCTGCGTGAAGAAAAAGGTCTAGCTTCGCTACCCTCTGATCACCTGCGCGCCCACTCTAGACTGCTCTCCCATTTTCCTCTCTGAAATTTCAAAAATGAATGAGAATGACTAAAGGTGCTTTTTCACCTTTATATACCCCACTCCATAAAGGTTTGTTTTCACCTTCCCACCACTATTCCTCACAAATTTCATATTCTAAGAGGGTCCATGAATACTTCAGAGTCATTTTCAGAAAATAACGGGGACATGTTGGGAAAGGATAAAGAAAAAGGATGCATTTGCCCTTGGGTCCCTTCTTTTGACTAAAAATGGGTAACGGGGACAAACGGCGTCAGAATTGTGCGAAACGAGCGCTAGCGCATGCAGAAAAATTTGCTGATCATGGAAGGCCGCATCCGCCATCCAAAAGGGGACTGACCTTATTTTTTTTCTCTCCTCATCTCTCATGTACTTGGGGCCTCGTGCTCTCACGCAAGCGGCCGCGCACGCACTCCTCCCCTTCGACACAGTGGGCTGTGCTGGGCTGCCTACCCCGAGCCCAGGTCCAAGATCCCTCTTACCCTCACGCACGCCACCGTGTGTGCCGCTCTCCTTTGCCGTAGTGGGCCAGGCTGGGCCGCCTGCCCGATCTCCGCCCCTCTTCCACGTGTGCCTCCACACGCACGCACGTTCCCCTCGTCACGACAAGTAGGGCTGGGCTCTCCAACCCACGCTTGAGCCCAAACTTCTCTCTCTCCCACTCTCACACGCGTACAGGTGCGCACCACTCCCTCACAGGTGCTTTACTCTCTCTTTCTCGGACACATGTGAGTGCCCCATTTCTGCACGTGTGCTCTCACCCTCTCATAAGCGAGCTTGCGCATGCTTCTCCGCCACATGAGTGCGGTCCTTCCTGCCCCTATCACATGCGCGTGCGTCTATCGCCAATTTTTAAAAAAATTCAGCATTTTTTTTTTTAAAACATTTAAAACAACTTTTTTTTTAAAAGTTCGGCAAAAAATCGTGTTTTTTTCATTAGGACGTTAAAAATGCATTGTTTTTAGAACGAATTAAACGAGCCCAAAAAAACACATTTTTACTTGTATTTAAAAAAAAAAGAAAAAAAATTCATGATATGTGTAATTTCTAAAAAAACGTATTATTTCCATAAAAAAAATCCTAACAGAGAACACCCATTTTCTTGCAAATTTCATAATCTTCATGTTCCTGAAAAACGTATTATTTCCATCAATAAACCTAATCTTCATGTTCCTGCAAATTTCATAATCTTCATGCTCCTAAAAACCCCCATTCCCAAGAACCCCATTTGATTTTCTCTCTCTAACAGAGAAAACCCCCTTCCCTAATTTTGAAGAAGCATACCCTATTTTCAATGAAACACAGGTCTTCCCAAGACCTTGTTGTTCTATCGAGCTTCCTTATCCGTGAGATCAGGGGAGAAGAGAGTTCTATCGAGCTTCTTCGGTCTTCCAAAGCCTTGCTCCATCTTTTTCCCAAAAGTCTTCAAGCTCACGATTGGTTTTGAAGCGGTTTTCAATGAAAACAACTATATAAACTATAAAGTAAACTTTATATTAACCATAGTTATAAGTGATTTAACCATAGTTAAAGCATTTAATGATAAAAAAAAAATGTACATTTTTTTGGTATATTGATATTTGCTAAAGTATTTAAGTAGATTTGGGTTTTTAAAGTAGATTTTGGGTATGTTGATATTTAAGCAGTTTTGATATTTGTTGATATTTAATTGTGCTTTTTTTTTTTGGTATGGTGATATTTAAGTAGATTTGATATTTATTGAAGTATTTAATGTGAAGATTTATATTGTGTATGTTGGGTATATTGATATTTAAATAGATTGATATTTGTAAAAGAAAAATTGTGCCTTTTTTTTTGATATGTTGATATTTAAGTAGATTTGATATTTGTTGAGGTATTTAATGTGAAAATTTATATGGTATACTTTTTTTTTTTTTGTTTAAGTAGTTGTGATCTTTGTTAAATTATTTAATGTAAAAGTTTATATCGTGTATTTTTTTTTTGGTATGAAGTAGTTGTGATCTTTGTTAACTTATCCGATTTTTTTACTCCGATTTTTTTAGCCTAGTCCGATATATTGGCGATAGTTTTACATGAAGTATTTTTGCCGATCCGCATTTTTTATCCGTATTTTTGGCGATATCTGATGCCGGTGGCAGAGAAGAAAATGAAAGCCGAATGATCAATTTTGATTCTGAATGTTGTCCTTCTTGTTTCTCTTGAAGGACAACATTCAGCAGGGCAAACTAATTTAGGGTATTTTTCGACACTTATATCCCCAATGAGAATAAAGAGGAAGTCAATCGTGACCTAAGCTCGCAAGTACCAAGTTGCATGCAAACAATGGAAGCACTGTTGAAATAAATCATGATGTGGAACAAATTTTTGAAAGGCAATGGATGGGTCCTAAAAAAAGCATGTGGACGTAGCACTTGACTCCCTAAGGACACCTGCCAAGTTTCGTCGCGATCTGACAATGTTAAGGTAAATCAGAAGCAAAACCAGTTTTCAAGGTCGGCCATCTAGCATGCTGAAAATGCACCTTTTAATTACAACCATATCACTAGAGCTTCAAATGAACATCATACGACCTTCATTGAATTCAGAAGGTTCGAAAACCCCCAGATATCAAATTTCAGCTCATTCGCACACTTCTAAACCATTATGTGGCCAACTTATCCAAAAATAATGAGTTATGTGCTTTTCTGGTGCACCTTTGGTTAACCAATTTCCATTTAAGGAAACTATATAATATGATTTCAGGATCACCTTTGAAAGGTCATAACTTCTTCATGTTAAGCCGAATCAAGCCCAAATTTCAAGAGGATCTTCGTCTCATCGTCGCACACATTTTATGTGGCACGCCTTATGATACAACCCGAGACGGAAGAAATCTTAGAGAGAATCCGCTTAAGAAAACTCATGTTTTACAGATTTTTGTAAAGAAGAGATCCCTTCAATCAAACGGTCATATCATGAAGCCCCAATCGCGGATCGACTTGAAAGTGGGTCCGTCACGACCGTGACATCAAGGGCTTTGAACCAAAGTGAACACCATATGTGACAAGTGATTGAAAATGTTGTATTTCGAGGTTGAAGAAAGGGTATTTTTCGATGCCCGGAATCCATAATTCCGCAAACTTCGCCAATTCGAAAAGTGGTGGTCCGATCATGAAATCGAGCCATTCTTGTCAACAAAATGCCCGTGTCAACTTCCCCGTCGTTTCACAATGAAAATATCAAACTAAAATGCCAAGAAATGTACAAGATCCGAGATCTAAGATCGTAAAATCTTCATCTTTTTACGGATTTCACCAAGAGCTCAACACTTTAATTCAAGGATCAAAAGATATGCCAAAACGATCGCCTCGTCGAGACCATCACTTTCACGACATTCTTTTCACCGGAAGGTTACCAGAAAGATTTGAAACGGGCTCCGGATGACCACCATAGCCTATGGCCCCCTTTTGGGGACCATATTGATATTTTCGAGATTGTGGGTAAGGGCAAAATAGTAATTTTATCCCAAAAACGAGATACAAATTTAATTCATAGAAAATGTATTTTTTTAGTAATTTTAGTTAGTTTTGAGCATCCATCCTTTTTTCAAAGGGAGCGTTATATAAGTATTTATAACCCTAAGTTCAAAGGAGGAGAAAAGCAATGAGATTTGACCCATAATGTCAAGAATCAATTGAGTTTCCCTTGGTCTTTGCAATAGTTTTATCTACCTTTTCACTCAAGACGAGGAGAGAGAAAACTTTTCCCATAAGCCACTACCCCTAGAACTTCTTACTCTTCACTTGGAATCTCCTGCTTCTCACTTGAAACTCTTTACTCCCAACCTAGCCAAAGGTTCGATCCAAGGTTCCACTAAGTAACCCTTCATCCTTTCTCTCTCTTCCTCTCTCTTTCTCCTCTCTTTCTCTCTCTTCTCTCTCTTCTCTCTTCTTCTCATTCTTCTCTCTCTTTCTCTCTTCATCTCTCTCTCTTTTCTCTCTTTCTCTTTCTTTCTCTCTCTTAGGATCATCCGAGCGGGCAGCTATGTTGAAAGGTATTTTCCAACGCTTATAATCCCTGATGCGAATAAGAGGAAGCAATAGTAGAATAAGCCCTGACCTAGAGTGTAATCTCCAACAATCCCAAAACTGCTCAGTAATGCTAAAAAATGTGGCTATAGGTCTCCTAAGAATATCTTCCAAGTTTCATTGCAATTCGACGAAGTTAAGGTGGATCAGACGTCAAAACAATTTTCAGAATTTCGCATCTAATGCACTAAAAGAAGGCCCTATAACTACACTCATACCGCCGGAGATTCAAACGATCACCAGACCACTAAATTTCGGCTTATTTGGATGCTTTTGGACCAATATACGGCTGACTTACCAAAAATAGGTAGGTCGCACGCAATCCTGATGCACCCTAGGCGAACCAATTTCTATTTATGAAAACTGTGCTTTCCAATTTCGGGGCAAACTTTCAATGGTTGTATCTCCTTCATCCTGGGTCGAAACAAGCCGTAAATTTGGGATGATGTTCGTCTCATTGGCCCCATCGTTTTGATATATGGTATGCCTGATGGCATAGCCCGAACCGAGAGAAATCGAAGAGAGAAGATCACCTTTGAAATGCTTGAGTTGCAGGATTTTTCAAGAAGAAGGTCCCTTCGATCATATGACCATATCATAGCACTCGCATAATTGATTGGCTTAGAAATGGATGCATCGCGGCCATGAGGTCGAGGACTTCATTCGAGTCAAATCTTACACATGATGGACGGTCGGATTTGTTGCATTTCAGGGACGAAGAAGTGACATTTTTCAACCATCGAAATCTCAATTCCGGCCAAAATTCCCCAATTGGGAAAGTGATTATTTGGGGACCAAATCAAGCCATTCTTATTGCCAAATGATCATAACGACTTGCTCGTCATTTTACAGCAAAGAAATATAGTAAAAAGCATAAAGAAACGAGCGAAATCTCAAATCTAAAATCGCAAGTTTCTCACATCTTTGCCACTTCAAGTTCATGACTCAAAACCTAAATCCATAACTCAAAATCTATACCAAAATGATCACCTCACTAAGCTCATCAAGTTTCCATTGTTATTTTGGGCGGAAGATGGTCGGAAAGACCCCGTACCAGCCATGTGAAATCACAAAGAACGTTCATGGTCATGGAAGGACTGATTTGGAATTAGTAGGATTGTGGGCGACGGGCAAAATTATCATTTTACCCTATTTTTTAGCTTTTATTTAATTCATAAAATGTATATTTTTCAGCAATTAGGTTAGTTTTTGAGCATCCACCCATGTTTTAGCGGTTGCCTATATATACCCAGCATGTAATAACCCAATGGTCCGTTTTGGATTGGTTGGATTAGTTGAAAAACTCCCCCTTGTTAAGATTTTTAGCCCACAGTTAATGCTAAGAATTTTGGACTTTTTGCTTATCCCTTCCTTAGAGAGAGAGAGAAAAGAGAGAATATTTTTGACAATTGATCACTACCTCAGGTTCCAGCCACCGAGCCGAGAACCCTAGGTAAAATCTTAACCCTTCCAACAACCAAAAATTAGTCTTGTATTTTATTTTTATTTTTATGTAAATAAAATAACTATTTGAATTTTAGAGTGCAGGTGTATTTTTATAAATATAACAAAATAAAAATAATTAAAAAATATTTCAAATAAAAAATGACTAAAATATTTCTAAATTTATTTTGGTCAATATTCTTTATTTAAAATATTTTTTTATTAATTTTATTTTTTTATTAATTTTGTTCAATCTTACTTATAAAAATGAACATAAAACCAAAATTTCCAAACAATATCATTTTAAATGAAAAATTTAAAATAAAAAATGAGATTCCTTATTGGCCATTGGATGAAGATGGTTCAATCTGGACCATGTGCACCTTTTAAGTGTCCACTAATGTTGATGCAATAAACCTTTTGTAAAAATAATGTTGTAATAATTTACACTGTCTATTTTATTTTGATACTCTAAATTAAATATTTATTAAAAGATGTGCCATGTATTGACAATATTTTAAACGATTTGTTAAATCTACACTGTCCAAATAAAATGAACGTGTAGAGTATCACGACCTTATATATACAAGGTTTACAAACCACAAACTTAAATAAATGATCTTTACATGTGCAATCACTCATTTCTACTTTCACTCATTTTTTTTGTCCCAAGATTTCATGCTCCCTTGCGAGCATTACTATCCATTACCCCCTCAAATAAAAATCTAGGAGAACTTTTAGATTGAATAGCGACTGCCTAAATTTAAAGGGTAAGATATAAGTGCTAGAGAACTCTATTTTTTTTTTTTTTTTAAATTTTAAAAATAATCGTGTAGCATTTCTTCAAATGGCTTACAAAATTTCAAATTGAAAAAACAAAAACCTTCTAATAGATCTAATACTCAAGGAAGTAGGAATATATGGTATGTTATGGAGTATCATAGACAAGCTGCTCTTTTTCACCTTACTTTTACAAAAATGAGCCCTTCCCAGCACCTGCCAAGGCCCGTGGCCCTGTCCGGCCTCGGCAGAGGACCGGCCGAACTATACTGAGCCCTTCCAAGCAACTACCAATGCCCGAGGTCCTGTCCGGCCTCGGCCCGAGGACTGGCCGGACCGGGCCTTTGGCCGCCCTAATTAGGTCTGAGAAAATGTGTCCTATAGCATTTGGCGGTAACGCATCCATGAACACTTTTCAATTTTAGCAGGGTTGCACTTCTACGTTTCGAGAGAGAGACAGAGAGAGGGATGAAGGAAGAAGAGGAATTCGCCTGTCCGAGCGAGGTGTTGGGCAAAACAACGGAGTTGATTGCAGGAAGCGGCACTTATGTCTCCCCTCTTTCGATTACCATTCGCTCTTCTCTCTTTGTACGCCGCCACATTCTTCCGGCCCCTCCCAATGCCGATCATCAGGTCCCTCTCTCTCTAGACCTGCTTCTCTGCCTCTTCACCACCCCCTCTCTCTCTCTAAAGCATGCACTCGGAAGCTTGCGTCTCTGCTTTCGATAGGTCCTCTCTCTCTCACGCTTTGGTGCTTTTCAGAAACCCGCCATCGAAGTTGTGCGTCACAAGGCCCATGAATTGGTTCCTCAACCTGGCTCCATTGTCATTTGCCCTGGTAAGCTTCCCCTATTCCTTTACCCCCTCTCTCACTACTATCTTTCAATATGAGTTCAGATGCTTCTTATATTTGAATGCTTTAACAATTTCAGAGTAGAGGCTGGTATTCTATGTGCTTGATTTACTTAAAAGTAGAGTTATATGTTATATGAGGATTAATTATTTGATGTTCGTTCACCTTGAGGGTCCCCAAATATGATTAATCTTTACCTTAATAAGCTAATTTCTAATACAAGTACGAAACACCATTTTCAATTTCCTTTCCTACTACGAGAAAACAAATGGAAGCCTTCCAGGGGAAGGTTTCATGACTTGATGGCTTATAGTCATTTTTAGGTCTATGGAGGATTGCATTTTTACTGCTTGAACTAATGGCACAATGACTGAATATCAGTAATATGACAAAGGATGTAGGGGTTATATTATCTTTTGGACTTTTTATATTCTGGGAGACCTTCCCTTAAATGTCTGCTCCAACATGGGCAGTTTTCATTTTAAAAGAGTAGGATAACTTATTGGGGTTTGCATTTATGCATCACAATGGCTATGCGCCTTGTCTTTATTTGAATCTTTTAGTTTGAAATGAGTATGATCTAAGAAAGGGGATGACCTTAAACTTTTTCTTAGCCCATCCCAAGCTCAGGTAAAAAGGGTGGGTTATGTTAAGTAGGCAGTCAACATAAAACTTTGCCAAAACTTCTCATGAATCTGGGATATATGATAACTGGTTCAAGTAGAAAGCTAAAAAAAGGCAAGGGGTAGGCCCAAAAGGACATGGTTGGAAGTAGTGATAAAAGATATGGGGACTTATGGGTATGATCCTTAATAGAGTGGAATGGCGGACCAAGATTTGTGTAGCGGATCCCAATTAGTTGGGAAAAGACCTTGATGATGATGATGATTTAGAATAAGTAATGCCTTTATCCTGTGGATTATGGTCGAAGTTTTCAACTCCAAATTGAATATATTCTCTAAAACTTTTTATGATAAATTGGAAAGTTTCTAAGCAGTGTTTCAAAAAAAGGATCGCCCAACGCCTAGACGGCCGCCTGGACGGTCCAAAAAGCCTGGGCGCATCGCCCTAGCCTAGGTAGCAAAACTAGGTGGTGGTCTCTGGGCAGCCACCTGGGCGCTATGACACCCGCCTAGTTTGTTATTAATTATTGTTTGTTTTGTTTGGTTAGATTTTGAGAAGTCACTATATACTCTTGTTAGTGATCATTTTCTAAGTCACCATATACTGAACATTGTCTAAGTCACTATATACTCTTGCTAATGATTTTTTTCTTGAGCTGTTCTTCTTCGTAACTGATACTGATTGTTGGCTATGCATTGCATGGCATTGGAACCATGTCAAACCCATAGAATGGGAATGGTTGGTCATTTAGTTCTGCACTTTAGGTAATCTTATTTGGCGTGGACTTTCTCAAAAATTTTATTAGTGTGGGGCTATGATATCTTTTGGTCGGTCTTTTTTCTAATTTCTTAGAAACTTAAAATTTCATTGCATTGAATTGAGAACTATGTCAAAAACAAATGAGATTGAAGCTCTTCACTCCTTGCAAAGTTTGTGTGTGCTAATTGGTTACTGATACATATTTTCATCAAGAAGTGGTTAAAGCACCCACAAAACACACTATTTTACAAGTTTGGTTGAGCTTGGTATTTTCAATTTCATCTCGCTTACAAACCAGTGGCATTTTGTTGGTGCGCTAACTACAAATTGGGATTCTAAAGAAGCACCCAAAGCGACCACCTAAACCACAAGTGGTCCCTCATCTGAAAGCAGTGTTTCAAGAAGCGCTAGGCGGCACCTAGGCGGTCGGGGGGTCCAAGCCGCCCAGCGCCTAGGCAGGCGTCCAGAACCTCGGTGGCTCAGTAGAATTTTTTTTTTTTGGTTTTCTCTCTCTAAAATAGCCTCTAATGGGTTTTAGGTTTCAAATGAGCCTAAAATTCATAATTTTGTCCCTTTAGTATTAAAAAAATGACCTAAAAATACCCTCAAAGAGTCGCATTTCTGCCCCTAGGTGGGGCACGAACCCTAGGCGGGTTCCTGGGTGCCTAGGCGGGCGCCCAGGGATATCTGCCTAGTTTGGCCGCCAAGGCCTGGGCGATGCACCTAGGCCTTCTGAACCGCCTAGGCGGCCTAGGCGTTGGGTGGTCCGCTTTTCAAAACTATGCCTAAAAGGCCACCCGTAAAGTTCCAGTTCGCGTTTTGGGGCGACAAGCAAATGAGGCCGAAGTTTTGAAAGCTGATTATTAGTTATATGTCCTTTGCAAGCAAAGAAAATGTTGCAAGCTTGTGTTTATGATTTTCTTAACTCTCTCCTTAGGAAAGTTTTCACCCTCTCTTTTATGCAAAGTTAAGTCTTATATGTGGCATGACTGGTGGTCTTTTAAATGGTCACAGCTCTAAGATCCTCATATCCTTCATGTTATCTCTCTTCACATAGCTGTTCTCAGAAAAGTTCATTAGCTCTAATAATATGACTGTTTCTTTCTTACTTAGGTTTTTTCACATTATGGATGATGTAGGACCAAGGCCCGTTGGCTCCTACATGAGTGGGACATGCGAAGTGGGCTTAGGAAGTAAGGTTAAATGATTGGATTGGGAGTTCTCATTATGTTGGGATTTAGGAGCTCTAAAGGGTGTACGTTTCCTAAAAAGCTTAGGACAGCAGGGTGTTGAGGTATTGAGGTCTCCTAGATTGAATAGGACTGGGGGTTTCAATGTCTTATTAGGTAGGGTTAAAGGTAAGGTGATAGGGAAGGATTAGGTACAATCATTGCAGCAACTAATGTTAGGTTAGAAGGTGTTAAGGCGGTTGAAAAGTTGCTAGAAAATTGCAGGTCCAGCAAATGTGATTGAAAAATTTGAAGGGAATGGGGCGAGATTAGAGCCAATTTAGGGTTGGAAGCTTATGGTAGGTGATGAGTTTTTGAATTACAGCTTACGAAGAAGTGATTTGATGAGGGATGAATAGGGTAAGGAATTTGGTTATGGGGGATTTTGGATGGGGATGTACACAAGAAGGAAAGAAGACTAACTTGCTGTGGAGATTTTCCCAATCTTAAGCTAGAGTTATAGAATAAATTTCTCGACAAAAAGAGCTGAGGCGCCTCTCCTTGACGTGAATGAACCACTCCCCCAAAGATGGCCTCGTGCCACCAAAAGAAAGAACTCAAATTTTTGTTCTTAACTTCAACTGAATGGCCTATGGCTTGGTACACCTATTTCTAGGATTATATTCCCTGCAATCTTACTTGGCGTAGATTCCAAGTAATCTTTAGACTTCCTAAACATTCAAAATTTTCTAAATTAGGAAAGGCGATCCTTTATAAATTAGGGCACTATTCCCTTTACAAAATATGGAAGGTAACATCTTTTAGAACTCTTCTATCGAAAGAGGAAACTAGGGCTCTTTGAGAACTTTTCCGAAAAATAGGAAACTTCTGTAAATCCTAAATTGGAAAGAAGAAACTTACCACAAAAATCAGAAGGACTCATACATTCCTAACTAAATTAAACCTTAACCTAAATAGCTAGTCAACTTCGTTTTGTAATTAAATATTTCACGTTACTTCAGGCCACAATTTGGGGCTCAAGATGCCTGAATTAGGAAAACTCCATAGAGTTAAGGGTGGTAGATCTTAAAGAAATCATTCATTCTAGCTTTGGACGACTGCAAATGGAGAGGGGAAAGTTTATGCCCTCTCGAAGTGGTCGCATCAACTGATATAGCAAATACCATCCTTCTGAAAATAGCCTGCCTCCCTGGGATTACATGCCTTGGCACCAATGCCTATCTATGAAAGTTATCTAACTGAACATTGCTAGACCATTTGGCAATCCCAACCTGGCATATTTCACTATCTCTGATTATGTGCATCCCTCTTTGAAAGGACTCATTGGTGTGTATAAAAGCTTTCTAGGCACTTGCATTTATCCTTGTTGAACCACGCTGCATACCTTTCCTAAAAATATTTTAGCTGGTTTTGACATTTATTTATATGGTTTGGTCATGATTTCAGCAAAATTTTGTACGGTACTAATATTAGGAAACAGAGGCATTCAAAATTTTAAAGATTTTAAAATTAGTGGGACAGAATGTTAGGTAGTCAAGAAACAACATACCCATAAGATGAGTGTAGTTGAGATAGATGAGTGACAAGACAAGAATGAATATATTTTGGAATGAATATATTTAGGGGAGTGTAGGTGTGGCTTCAATAGGCGATAAGACGGGCAAGGGGAAGGCCCACTGAAGTAGTGAGAAAAAATATGACAACTTATGGTTTTATTGAGGGTATGACTCTTGATAGAGCAGAATGACAGAACATGAGCTGGCTCCACAGAGTTGGGATAAGGCTTGGATGATGATGATGATGAAGCTTTTTCAAATGTTTGCTTCTTCTCTCTCATGCATTCTTTGAGGCTCAAGTTTGCTTTCTATTACGAAGCCTTTCATGTCTAATTACTGCAATTCAGGCTTACTGGATTTCCTGATACCTCCACATTAGAGCTTCTTATAATGATCTGTCTTTAGATGGTTGAAACAATAAATTGAAAACATGGAAATTTCTTGCCTCAGTCCTTTTAATCCTGCTTAAGTTAATTATTAGCTTGAAGTTTATGATTTATCCTTGGGAAGGTAGCATAGTGATCTCCCATGCATGCTATGGAATGAAATTTTGAGAATTAGGTTAACCTATCTGTGCAATTCTCTGCAAAGGAGTTTCATTTTCAAAGATTTCCCAGTCAAAATTGAGGGTTTATTTACAATTCCAACCTAGTTAAAATGGACTATAATGAAAAATTAAAATGGGAATTAAGAATACATTTATTTTTTATCTGTGTAAGATCATTTCTACTTCAAGGTTCTACTTTTTGGACTGAAGTCATGTTTATGGATCAATTCTGCTGAGATATCTATAATTGTAATCTTAATAAAATGCCAGAATAGTGGACTTGGATTTGTTTGAGGTCTTTTCGTAGCTATATCTCATGCAAAGATCCATAATAGGTTCTTTACAATATATTCAGGTTTAAAAATAAGGTCATTTCTAGATATGATCTCTTTATGCATCTTAAGAAGCATCTGGTAGAGTTGGCAAGCTCTAGTTTAAGCCCTAACAGGGCCCATTTCCTTAGATCAATTTTTGATAGTGGATGAAAGCATTACTTTGTATATAAGAGATCATTTTCGCTTCGTGTGCAATATGCTCAGTCAAAATCAATAGGATCTGCCTGATGTAATTCAGATTCATGAAATTCGCTGAAGCTTTGAAAGGGATTTTCCCAGGGATTTGGTCTTAAACAAACAATTTGAAAGAATATTTTCAAAACACAAAATATTATCTACTTCCGCAGAATATGGTCGCTAAATCTTTTCAATGATTCAATAAGTTTTCCTTCTTTAATAAAACATCTTTAGTAAAATACATAACGTAATCCTTAGCGAAAAATGAAAAGACGTGGGCATCCTCACTAGTCTAGGATGTGTGGGCCTCACGTCCCACACCCACATGTGGAACGCCCCTTGACCTCTCACATGGGTCCCACCATGCCTTAAAGATTTTTGAAAATTACGAGAACAAACTTTTAAGGGTTTTTCAATGCTTAAAATGATTTTAAAAATTTCAGAAACTTTCTAAAAATCACAAATATTTTTTATAGTGAAACAAAATTTCTAGAAGTGGGGTAGAACCAATAGGTGAAGCAAAGTGACTGTCTGTGTTCTCCACCAGACCCAGTAACCATTGTTATTGACTGTCCTTGACCCAAGTCTCATGTAGGAGCTCATGATTGACTCTTCAATGTTGGCCAATAATGCTGGAATCACAATCTCGGAATATGGATTAGAAGTTCTCCCTTAAGAGGAAGTCACACACATATCGTTATAGTGCAAGGGGGACTCTCTTTATGCACATGTACATGTATCCCTTTGAAGGGTTTCTTCTCGATATATAGCTTTGTCATATGTACATGCGTTGCAGAAGGCCTTCACTCTTACAGGCTCACATTACCGTATAGGAGACTACAAGGTTCTCTTGGCCTACAAACCATCCATGGGCATCTCTTCTACCTCAACATGGGATAACTCTCTAAAAATCCTCTAAAACCCTCTATGGTAGTGCCATATGTCTAGGGGAAAAGGTTTTAGATGTGACCTAGCCATAGACTACCTAATCCTACACCAATTAACGAACACATACTCCCACTGAAGTATATAATCCACTATATTCTATTATTTACATGTTCTCATAGGCTTTAAAGCCACAAAACCCCAACACATAATAGTTGGAAGCTGGATCAAAATGATTAAGATATCTTCTATCTTTTGTTACATTTGATGCTTCCCTACATCATGGAATTTGTTAGGTATTGATAACCATAAGCTTTATGTTCTGTTATTTATGTATATTTTTTATCTTTATAAAAATGCATTCAGGACCTAAATTTCTTGCACTTGCTATTTCTTTTCTTCTTATGATTTGCATCACAGCTAAATTTTTCTTGTTAAAAATAAATAACTGTGTTATACACTTTGGCTCCCTTTGGCAGGTAACGAAGGTGATGGCTAGAGTGGCTTCAGCTGATATCATGTGTTGGACCAAAGTCTGTCAGAGAAAAATTTACTGGAATGATCAGGTAAGTTATGGTGTAGTATGCCAACATTTGTTTTATGCATACCCACTGTTTCATGTGTTAAGTCCTAGTGCTTAGTGAAACTCCAACCTTAGCTCAGTATTATTTTCATCTTCCTTGTTTAATGATCGTTGAGTATGCCTTCATAGCTTGCTAGTTTTGTATTTTATTTATGATTGCAGTTCTGGCTGGATAGGGTTTATCGTTAGTTTGTTGTCATCTTGAAAAATTTGAACTTTGAAGAATGTTAGGATATTTGTGATTCCGAGTTAGAAATTATTTTGGGGAAATAAGCATCCTTTTGGGGTTTGCCATTCATATTTTTTATTTGATTGATGGTTTAGTAATTCATTACTTCATTGGATACACATGTAAGCATGTTAAATTCGATCGATGTTATAGGATTGTGCTAGTCCACTCGGCTCAGATGAGCTACTCGGCCTATGAGCGAGGCCAAGTTACCCCAAGTTGTGTACACACCTTAGGGTATATGAAAGAATTCCAAAATATTGTAAAAAATATGGGATTGTTCGATAATTTTATTTTTTATTTTTATAAAAATATGATTTGGATATTTTTGATAGAGATTGGTGAGTGTTTTTGCCATAATCCCTATTTTTATACTTTGAATTTTTCAAAAAATTTTCTATACTTTCTAAAGCTTATTTGGTGAGTGTTTTTTCCATAATCCCTATTTCTATACGTTGAAGTTTTCAAAATTTTTTCTGTACTTTCTAAAGCTTATTTGGATCTTTTAAGGTTGCTTTTGGTTTTATTTTACCTTTATCACCTTTATTTTATTTTATTTTTATATTTATCTAGGGCTTTTTGGCCCTGTGTAAGACTCGGCCAAGTCCACTCAGAGCATTTATATGCGAAGTTACAAACTTAATACATTTAGATGTATATATCTTTCTGACGCAAAATTCCTGCCTCCCAAAAACCTAGAGCATCTATATTTCTCAAATACTTTTGTCTACAAATATGTGTCCTTACATTGAGAACTTGATCTTGATTAGCCTCCTTTGGCCATTCTTTTCTTACCAGGTTGGAGGTCCTCTCTTGGGTTAGACTTGCACGGGTGATCACAACCATAAACCAGAACTCACCTGGTTTTTGCTTCCAATTTAGATCACATTTACGATCTAGATCACCGGCTTCTTATATATTGTGTCAGTTTTAGGTGGTTGCAAGTCCAAAGCCATGATACTATTATTCCTTTGTGTAACCCTAATTACTTCTTCCAACTTCCCCGCTGGCCTCCAATTATGTTGGGTTGTCTACCCATGATGGGAGAGGAATATGATGATGATTATGGCTTCATATGCCTAGTCTACGTATGTCACGTCCCAAGAATTTACAATACTGATATTCTTGAGATGTGACAGTCAAAACATAGATACATCTCTTGATAGGACAAATTTATCGTGGCGAATTCTTACAAAGTAACAAAAGACAACTACAATATCTTCCAGAGTTGATCCTGACGAGCACTCAAAATGAAA